TCAAACTGTGGCCGAATATGAAACGAAATTTATGAAACTATCCAAGTTTGCTTCCGAATTGGTAGCCACAGAACGGCGAAGAGTAAGAAGGTTCATACAGGGATTAAATTTGAAAATCCAGGAAGCCTTAGCGGTAGTGCAAGTGAATACATTTACGGAGGCTCTTGAGAAAGCTCAAAGAATTGAGGAGGCAAAAGCACAGGTAAAAGCCTCCCAAACTCGGAAAAGGGGTGCATCGGATAGTATAGTGGGTGAATTAAGTGAAACGATAGCACTTCCTAAAGTGCAGAAAGTGAACCCGTTACTCCGCCCACCATGGACCTTAGGAGCAGTAGATGAAGGGTCTACGAAAGGGAGTCAGATCGGATCCAAAGAAATTTCTCGAGAAGGTCAAACGGTAGCTCCCCGATTGGTCTGTGGATACTGTGGAAAGGCCAATCACACTGAAGGCAATTGTTGGAGGAAGGGGCGGAAATGTTTGATCTGTGGAAGCGGTGATCATCAAGTTAGCAACTGTCCGCGGAGACAGTCACGTGAAGGTAGTACTCCGCAACCGGATGGAGCCAAATCGAAACAAGCGAATGAAAGAGGGAACTGTGAGAACCCAGAAAAAAAAATTATTTAGGTATTATTTTATTCCGGTGCACCCGTTTTCTTTCTTTTCTTTATTATATTACTTTTATCAACATTTTATCAGTACATATAGTCTTTAAATCATTTTTCTAGTATAAGGTAGTTCGTGAGAAATTAGGAATGTATATTGGACGTGGGACCCGCTCGTGCATTAAGTGAGAGAAATTCGGTCAATTAGGTTAAATTTTGCATAACGGGCTTTAATTACTAGGTGTTAGTAGATGATTAGAGGTTACCTAGATGGATTAATCATGGAGGGACAAGAAGATAACTCTAAACCAAACAAAGTGCCACGTGTCTATTTGTTGGTGGAGTAAACTTGCCTAACTTTTGGCCTAACTTTCTTTACTTTGCTAAAAGTCTCATTTTGACCAAATCATCTTCATTCTTCACCTTGTCTTGGCCGAAACTCCCTTGGAAGCAAAGGAAAGAAACCTTCAACCTTTCATCTTCAAATCCTTGCTTAAATCTTGAAAACTAACCGATTATTTCTTGAATTAGTCCATAAAATCATCTTCCTAAGGGTGTTTGAAGAGCTTAGTGGTGTTGTTTTGGAAGAAAACCTCCTAAGCTACAACCTTTCTTGAAGACCTAAGGTATCTTGCTTGGAACTTATCTTTTGTTGCTAATTTTGGCCAATTGGTGCCTTATAGTAGCTATATACGTGATTTTACGGAAGATTTGGTGGATTGGAGTGAAGCTAGCTAATTTTCTGATTTTTGTGGAAATATTTCTTTTTGCCTATGATGGATATGTTTGAGCTTGAATTGGTGGTTCTGAATGGTGTTAAATAGCTCTCTTGTACGTTAATTGTGGTTATTTGCGGAAAATTTCCGCTTGTGCGAAAAATTTCAGATTTAGGGTTTCTAATTGGGGGTTTTCTACGGTTGATAGTTGAGCTTCTAATTGGCTATAATTGAGGGGTATTATGACCCGAATGAAGTATATTGAATGGCCTATGAATTGTTTGGGTGCTTGTGGTTGTGTTGGATGGCTTTTAATGGTTGTCTTGTAGGTTGGAAAAGCTGAAATTTTAGGGGAAATGCTGTCCAAGTGTCTAGGGTATTAGATTCTTGTGAGTTGGGTTGAGATTGGATAGAAATGAACGGTTTAGGGGTTGTTCCTACTTTTAACCCTAAATGTTATGTATTTTTCATTTCCAAGCTATATTTGGTTCTTGCCTTAATAGTTCCTAGAAAAAAGTATTCGACTCTTGTTTGAGTGTTAATTGTACTTTCTTGATTATTATAGGGCGTGCCGGTAATCCGAGGCTCACGTGGGGCGAAAACTTGTGAAATTACTTTGTTTGACTTGGTGAGTGTACTACTCACATGTTTGTTATTCCGTGGCTTTCTTGTACTTGAATTCTGTGATTTGGACTAGTTGTGATGATTGTTTGACCTAGGTGAGGCGAGGGTGTACTTTACCACTCTCGTACTCTCTGGCCTCCTTGACTGGTTATTATATTAGGCTTACTTGACTGTTTATGATATTACTTGAATACTCTTGACTGTACGTGATTTGGTGTCGCTTGGATACCAACCTTTACTATAACTCTGGACCTTTACTGTTCACTCTGAGCTCTACCTCATTGGAAGTCAATGGACTCGAGCCAGTAAGGACTTGGTCGGGGACATTTGACAAGCCATGGGGACTGTAATTGGGAATTTTTGGGTATGAGACCCTTGATTCCGGTATACTCAAGTAATACCAATTCTGTACTGTTTGGTGTTCGGGCCCGGTAAGGGGAAAGTGAGGTGGACGGATAATTGGAGTAAAAAGGAGTCTACGGTCATGATTACTTGGTATACATTGACGGTGAGTCAATGAGATGAGATCAAGCATGGCAAAAGAGGAAAAGGGCTCTTGAGAGCCATCCGTATCCTTTTATTCCCTACACTTGGGTGTTGTTGCTTTTACTTCCTTGACATGCGTATTTGGACTGAATATTCTTGTGTTTATGTGATCCTGGTATATTTTCGTGATGGTACCTCATTGGACGAAAGCTCACTCCGTTAATTTTTGTTTTCCTTACAGGCAATTATCTTTTGGATTTTTTATTTTGAAGAATGAGTTGAGTAGAGCTAGTCGAGAGATGTTGTATAGCTCCTCAATAGTTGGAACCTTAATTGTACTTCGATTTAAATGCTTCCTTTTGGCTTGTAATCATACCAATGTGGTTTGTAACAGTGTGTGTGTCTTCATGTTCCATGTATTATACTTGGCTTGTATATATATTCCTTTCAGGGATTGTAAGAAGTTATTTGCATTTGATGGGGTCTTGGCGGACCGTGATGTGGCAGTCACTATTAACTTTACGTTTTGACTTTTGTTTTTTTCCGTTTCCCGATTGATGGTTTGGTTAAGCGCGCTAGTAGATTCCCGAACGACTTGAGTTAATGTTTTACCGTTTTAGTAGTCCTGGCGAGAGTTGGGCAGGCAGTCCGCTAACCACTTTGGTACGCCTTAGGGGAAGGTGGGGCTGTTACAGGTGGTATCAGAGCCAGGTTAGAAATAACCTGGGCGAACCTGAAACCTGAGTCTTAGCATTTTGAGGATTGTGTTTAGACGCCATTAAGTGTGAATATATTGTTTAAGCTATAAATCTTTGCTATCTTTGTAGGTTATGGCCGGAACTAGTGGAGCAGGCGGAGGTGTGCCACCTCAGAGGCGCCCTCGATTCATCGATTACCAGGAGAGACCGGGAAGTCCGACTCGGCTGTGGTATACCGCTAGCCGGACCTGCCGCTGTAGGCGTTGCCAGTTTTACTCTTATGTGGACCACGTGGTTGAGGCGGTACTTGCTGAACGACGGAGGCTTAGATGTGCCGCCGCCAGGGAGCGCACTGAGACTCTTAGGCTTAGGGGCATCATGCGGATGCAGGCCGATAGGATTGGAGAGCTCCAGGGGAACGTGGCCATGGAGCAGGAGAGGACGAACACGCTGAGGGAGCAGTTACAGGTGGTTAACGACCACCTCACTAGGGTAGTCCGGGAGGTGAGAGACCGGTCCGGCGGTATTATCAACGAGTGTGGGGCACTCATCCAGGGAGTGATTGGCGCCAATGCGCCAGGGGGAGTTCCAGGTGACGGAGCTCCAGGTCAGGGAGGTGCCCCTAGCTCTAGCTCTGGGGGGGAGTCGGTTGGCTCCGTGGAGGACTAGATTAGGGTTCTTTGAGCCCTGTTTTGATCCCGTGTGAGGGACACCTAGGAGAGGCTTTTAGTTAGTTGCTTCGTGCTTTTGGGACCTAGGTTGTACATTGTATTTTGACAGACCCTCTTTTGGCTTCACGGGAGTACCTTTGTATATATTTGCTTGACTGCTCATGTATGACTGTTTGACACCGTTATGTACTCTATGTATAAATGCTCTATGTGTATACATGCCTTATGTGGTGTTTACTGTTGGTTCTTCGTTCATGCTTATATGACTCTATTTCTATGCACTTTTAATATTATCTTTGTGCCTCGACTTTAGATTGACATTAGAGTAATGGAAGGCACTCGTAGTGGACGAGGCCGCGGGCGCGGTATTAGGCAACCCACAACTGACGGGGGTACTAGGGACACCACGACTGAACCAAATCCTGAACCTAGGGTTGACCCTAGTGCCCAGATAGCGACTGCTATGCAGCAAATGACTGACCTGTTAGCCCACGTAGTGCAACAGCAGGGCCAACCTCCTATTCCGCAACCTGGGAACCCTGGCCATGTAGTAGAGAGTGAAGATCGGGCCCTAGAAAGATTTCAGAAGTTCTCTCCGCCAAAATTTCTGGGCGGGTCAGATCCGGACGTGGCCGAAAAATGGTTAGAGAAAATGATAGATATTTTTGCCGCCCTACACTATTCAGAAGAGAGACAGGGTACTTTCGCTGTCTTCCAATTGGAAGGGGCCGCGCGTTCTTGGTGGAACGTGATACGAATGAAGTGGGATCGGGAACAAACACCAAGAACATGGATAAACTTTATGAGGGACTTTAACGCGAAATACTTTCCCCCTCTAGTCCAGGAAAAGAAGGAGGACGAGTTCATTAGACTCCGTCAGGGGACGCAATCGGTGGCAGAGTACGAGAGCCAGTTTACTCGTTTATCTAAGTTCGCCCCTGAACTCATTCTGACGGAGCAAAGGAGAGTTCGGCGTTTTATTCAGGGGCTCAATGTGGAAATTCAAAAGGATCTGGCAGTAGCCCAGATCAATACCTTTAGTGACGCCGTGAAGAAAGCTTTGCGCGTTGAAAATGCAAGGCTTCAAGTGAGGAATTTTCAGGTGAAAAAAATGAGGATTCTCTACGAGTAGTTCGACCCAAGGGGATAAAGGGACCCCTCCTAAGGTTGGAAGGGGAGCCGGAGGAGGAAGGCTACCGGGAATGACACGTGAGACTCCGCCGAGGGGTGGTCACAATGGACGGGGCCCGCAGAGAAGCGCCTCACAAGGAAGTTCGGCCTCAGTTTCTCATGGACCCTGTGGATTTTGTGAAAAACCAAACCACACCGAGGAAAATTGTTGGATGAAAGAAAGAAAATGCTTGCGCTGTGGGAGTGCGGAGCATCAAATAGCCAACTGTCCGGTGTTACCTTGGGAGGCGAGAGTAACCACCCAGTCGTCGAAGGCCAACTCGGGACAGTCCAAGGTGGAAGGGACAAAGCCGAAAGTGCCAGCTCGGGTATACTCCCTTGAGCAACATCAAGTCGCTGATTCCTCTGGGGTTGTAGAAGGTACGATCCCTGTTTTCCATCGTCTAGTTAGGATTTTTGATAGACCCTGGTGCTACCCATTCCTTTGTTAACTCCGATTTTATGTGCGGCATTGATATAACACCTACTAGCTTGCCTTATGATTTGGAAGTAAGTACTCCTACGGGGGACCAATGTTTGATTACAGGTTTAATGTATGCGAATTGTGAAATTTGGGTAGGAGAGAGGAAGCTTTTGTGGATCTTATAAGTTTGGCTATTAAGGGGTACGACGTTATACTGGGTATGGACTGACTAGATAAGTACGAGGCACAACTTGATTGTAAGAGAAAAGTAGTGGAATTTCATATACCGGGGGAGGCAACCTTAAGGCTAGATGTAAGAGGTAGTTTAGCCTCATCTGCATTGATTTCGGGTATGCGGGCTAGGAAATTACTGCATAGAGGGGCACAAGGGTTCCTAGCTTTTCTTATAAACACTCCCACTGATAAGTTGAGGGTTGAAGATGTGCCTGTAGCACGTGAATATCCGGATGTGTTTCCTGATGAATTAGTAACTTTACCCCCGGAGAGAGAGATAGAGTTTAAGATTGACTTATTACCGGGGACGTCACCTATCTCTAAGACCCCCTATCGAATGGCACCTGCTGAGCTCAAGGAGTTGAAATTACAGTTGCAAGACCTGTTGGAACGGGGGGTTCATTCATGAGAGTGGATCTCCTTGGGGGGCTCCGGTACTATTTGTTAAGAAGAAGGATGGAACTTTAAGATTGTGTATCAACTATCGGGGATTAAATAATATAACCAGTAAGAACAAATACCCACTTCCCCATATCGATGAACTGTTCGACCAGTTACAAGGCGCGGTGGTCTTTTCAAAGTTAGATCTCCGACAGGGTTATTATCAGTTGCTAATTAAGAAAGAAGATGTACCCAAGACTGCTTTCAATTCTAGATATGGGCATTTTGAATTTGCGGTCATGCCCTTTGGGTTGACCAATGCCCCTGCTGCCTTTATGGATTTGATGCATCGGGTTTTCAAACCCTACCTGGACCGATTTGTTGTCGTGTTTATTGACGACATTTTGGTCTATTCTAAAACCCGTGAGGAACATGAGCAGCATTTGAAGTTAGTGTTACAAACCCTGAGAGATCATTAGCTATACGCCAAATTCTGTAAGTGTGAATTTTGGCTGGAGAAAATCTCTTTCTTGGGACATGTGATTTCAAAAGAAGGTATTACAGCGGATCCCGTGAAAGTAGAGGCAGTGGCTGAATGGAAGAGGCCAAAAAATCCCACTGAGATTCGCAGTTTCTTAGGGTTGGCTGGGTACTATAGACGCTTTATTAAAGACTTTTCCAAACTGGCCGGCCCTTTAACCGACCTGACGAAGAAAAATGGCTGTTTTGTGTGGGATACTAGGTGTGAAACCAGTTTTCAGGAGTTGAAGCGAAGGTTAACCATGGCTCCTGTTCTGGCCTTGCCTAATGGGAAAGACAGTTTCACCGTTTATACTGATGCTTCGAGGGAAGGCTTGGGGTGCGTGTTAATGCAAAACAAGAACGTGATTGCCTTTGCCTGTAGGAAACTAAAAACCCATGAACAAAATTACCCTACCCACGACTTGGAGTTAGCTGCTGTGGTCTTTGCTCTAAAAAAGTGGAGACACTATCTCTACGGGGTTACCTTTGAGGTTTATTCAGACCATAAGAGTCTTAAGTACCTCTTCTCCCAAAAAGAGTTGAATATGAGGCAACGCCAGTGGATGGAACTCTTAGAAGATTATGACTGTACGATCAACTACCATCCGGGTAAGGCTAATGTAGTGGCGGACGCCCTAAGTCGGAAGGCTCAAGTAGCAGGGTTGACGGTCAAGGAGTAGGAAATGTTAGGAGCAGCTAGTGAGTGGAACCCTAGATTAGGATTCAAAAAAATAACTTTTGGGAATATTCGGGTAACATCTACTATTCTCGATCGTATTAAAGAAGCCCAAGAGAAGGATCTGATGGTACAAAAGTGGAAGCAAAAGGTAGAAAAGGAAGCATTACCTGATTTCAATTTGGGTCTTGAAGGAATTTTAAGGTATAGGAACCGAGTAGTGGTAGCCAATGATGAAAACCTGAAAAGAGAAATTTTAGAGGAAGCCCATCGATCGAAATACATGATCCATCCTGGTAGTAATAAGATGTACCAAGACTTACGACGGTTGTACTGGTGGGATAAGATGAAGAGGGAGATTGCTCAATATATCCAAACCTGTCTGATTTGCCAGCAAGTCAAGGCTGAACACCAAAAACCCTCTAGACTGTTACAACCTCTTGACATACCCGAATGGAAGTGGGAAAACATCACGATGGACTTTGTTTCTAGACTGCCAAGAACTCAAAAAGGACATGATGCTATTTGGGTGGTCGTTGATCGGTTGACCAAATCGGCCCATTTCTTACCTGTGAATGTGAAGGATTCCATGGATAAGCTGGCTCGGTTGTACCTGAATGAAATTGTGAGGTTGCATGGGGTTCCAGTGAGTATAGTTTCAGACCGAGATCCTCGTTTTGTATCGAGGTTTTGGCAAAAGTTTCAGGAGAATTTGGGGACCAAAATCAACCTTAGTACCACCTATCACCCCCAGACGGATGGACAGTCAGAGCGAACAATTCAAACCCTCAAGGATATGTTACGGACTTGTATTCTGGATTTTGGGGGTAATTGGGGCCAACATATGACTTTGGTAGAGTTCGCCTACAATAACAGTTTCCATTCGTCCATTCAAATGGCACCATATGAAGCTCTCTACGGACGGAAGTGTCGTTCGCCCATTTATTGGGATGAAGTAGGGAAAAAGAAAGTTCTAGATCCAACAACCATTCCTTGGATGGATAATGCACAAGAAAAGGTTAAATTGATCCGTCAAAGACTCCAAACAGCTCAAAGCCGACAAAAGAGCTACGCAGATAACCGAAGGAAAGATTTGGAGTTCGAAGTTGGAGACCGTGTTTTCCTTAAGATCACGCCATTACGAAGTGTCACTGCGGGTAGAGGAAAGAAACTTCAACCACGGTTCGTGGGGCCTTATACAATTCTCCAACGAATTGGGAAAGTAGCGTACCGACTCGAGTTGCCGCCAAGTTTATCTCGGATTCATGACGTTTTCCATGTCTCGATGCTGAAAAAATACTATCCTGATCCAACCCACATTGTGCGACCAGAGGAGATTGAGTTAGATAAGGCACTCACTTATGAAGAGAGACCGGCACAAGTACTCGATCGAAGGATTAAGGAACTAAGGAATAAACAAATTCCATTAGTGAAGGTTATGTGGAGAAATCATGGAATAGAAGAGGCAACTTGGGAGTTGGAGGAAGAGATGCAAAAGAAATACCCTGAGTTATTTAGTAACCCAGGTGAGCAATTTCTAGGGCGAAATTCTTTAAGGGGGAGAGGGTGTGAGAACCTAGAAAAAAAAAATTATTTAGGTATTATTTTATTCCGGTGCACCCGTTTTCTTTCTTTTCTTTATTATATTACTTTTATCAACATTTTATCAGTACATATAGTCTTTAAATCATTTTTCTAGTATAAGGTAGTTCGTGAGAAATTAGGAATGTATATTGGACGTGGGACCCGCTCGTGCATTAAGTGAGAGAAATTCGGCCAATTAGGTTAAATTTTACATAACGGGCTTTAATTACTAGGTGTTAGTAGATGATTAAAGGTTACCTAGATGGATTAATCATGGAGGGACAAGAAGATAACTCTAAACCAAACAAAGTGCCACGTGTCCATTTGTTAGTGGAGTAAACTTGCCTAACTTTTGGCCTAACTTTCTTTACTTTACTAAAAGTCTCATTTTGACCAAATCATCTACATTCTTCACCTTGTCTTGGCCGAAACTCCCTTGGAAGCAAAGGAAAGAAACCTTCAACCTTTCATCTTCAAATCCTTGCTTAAATCTTGAAAACTAACCGATTATTTCTTGAATTAGTCCATAAAATCATCTTCCTAAGGGTGTTTGAAGAGCTTAGTGGTGTTGTTTTGGAAGAAAACCTCCTAAGCTACAACCTTTCTTGAAGACCTAAGGTATCTTGCTTGGAACTTATCTTTTGTTGCTAATTTTGGCCAATTGGTGCCTTATAGTAGCTATATACGTGATTTTACGGAAGATTTGGTGGATTGGAGTGAAGCTAGCTAATTTTCTGATTTTTGTGGAAATATTTCTGTTTTCCTATGATGGATATGTTTGAGCTTGAATTGGTGGTTCTAAATGGTGTTAAATAGCTCTCTTGTACGTTAATTGTGGTTATTTGCGGAAAATTTTCGCTTATGCGGAAAATTTTAGATTTAGGGTTTCTAATTGGGGGTTTTCTATGGTTGATAGTTGAGCTTCTAATTGGCTATAATTGAGGGGTATTATGACCCGAATGAAGTATATTGAATGGCCTATGAATTGTTTGGGTGCTTGTGGTTGTGTTGGATGGCTTTTAATGGTTGTCTTGTAGGTTGGAAAAGCTGAAATTTTAGGGGAAATGCTGTCCAAGTGTCTAGGGTATTAGATTCTTGTGAGTTGGGTTGAGATTGGATAGAAATGAACGGTTTAGGGGTTGTTCCTACTTTTAACCCTAAATGTTATGTATTTTTCATTTCCAAGCTATATTTGGTTCTTGCCTTAATAGTTCCTAGAAAAAAGTATTCGACTCTTGTTTGAGTGTTAATTGTACTTTCTTGATTATTATAGGGCGTGCTGGTAATCCGAGGCTCACGTGGGGCGAAAACTTGTGAAATTACTTTGTTTGACTTGGTGAGTGTACTACTCACATGTTTGTTATTCCGTGGCTTTCTTGTACTTGAATTCTGTGATTTGGACTAGTTGTGATGATTGTTTGACCTAGGTGAGGCGAGGGTGTACTTTACCACTCTCGTACTCTCTGGCCTCCTTGACTGGTTATTATATTAGGCTTACTTGACTGTTTATGATATTACTTGAATACTCTTGACTGTACGTGATTTGGTGTCGCTTGGATA